TAGCCAAGGATGGTAAGTTCAATCCTAGGTAGAACCACAAGAGTCAACATAGACTTTGAGCCCTGATCATCACTTCACTGGTAGTAGAGAAAAAAATGACTTAATGCCTAGGCACCAGATGAACAGTGGATAAACACTTGTAACTATTTTTATATCTATGTTGAAACATTACATACCAATTATTTGTGAATTTTGACTCAGGAACTCAGGCAAAAGGGTTGAAATTGTTCAAGAACGCACGGTTCAAAGGGTTGACAGTGTGCAACAAGGATGTTTTCAATAAAAATGGAAATAAATAAAAAGGACATCATCACATAGAAATAAAGAAGAGACAGTTGAATTTCCTGTGGTACATAATGAGAAAAGAGAGATTAGAGAATTTGACACTCACAAGACATATTCAGGGCAAGAGAGGGAATCAGCAAGTAAATTACTCAGGTTATGTAAATAGATGACAGAATGAGGAGTGGGCAGTATAGATAAACATTGCTAAGAGCTATATAGGAAGTTGTAGAGAGCCATGACATGATCACCCATGTCCTGATGGGACACAACACATAGAAGAAGAATTTTTGCTCTCTAACATTTAATCTATTGATTTCAATGTCCACTTTTATATTTATATATAATCTATCTCTGATATTGAGCACTTTAATCCATAAATATAGTATACCTTAAAATTATATTTTATCACATATATATGTGTGGGTGTGTGTGTGTGTGATATAGTTATATATTTATATATTTATAAATAGTTATATATTTATATATTTTTATATATTTATATTTATAAATATTTATATATTTATATATAGTTATATATTTATGTATGTATGAATGTATGCTGTACACACACACACACACACACACACACACATATATATATATATATATATATATATATATATATATATATATATATATATATATATATATATATATCACCAATATTTATAAAATAAATTAAATGAATGCAGATATTTGCTGATGATACAACACTAGTTTTGGAGATTTCACTTTCATTTGGCATATAATAACCAATTTTAATACACAATTACACCAAGCTAGCATTTAAAAATTAAGCATATACACCGGCACTATAGAAATAGTCATGTGACTTCCACACAGCCAATAAAAACAAAGCAATACAGAAGTTTAACATTAATGCAAACAAAATCATTGACACCAACATACATGTGACAACCAATTTACACAACCAATGCAAACAAAACAACCTCTTCTACTATGAGGCATGTCTGTTCATGATGTTGGTGATCATGACTCTCCAAATATAATAATAACAAAATAACTTTTATATGTATATGTGTCTATACAAGTGTATAAATGCAGCAGAGGCACTTTTTTCATCCATATTTATTTATCCATTAATGTATTTTTAGATGTCTGTATTATTTTCATATCTATGTAGGAAATGTAAATGGAATTTGGTTCTTGATGCCAAGCCTTTTCCGGAACTCAAAATAGATTACTAATGACCAATGGAAAGTGTTAACTATTCCTGCTGCAAATCACTCATTTATTTGTCATGGAGATATTCACTGAGCTAAGCTTTGTTAAGCAGAAGTTGAACTTATGAACTACTTATGATAAGCACCTGTTAGTAAGTAATATGGCTGCTAATACTATAAAGGGAACCCAAAATAAACATGGTGATTGGTCACTTAGTCACTTGGCACCAAAATCTTTTTAGACCCATAACATCTATCTATCTATCTATCTACTATTTAAACCTAACTATATATATATATATATATATATATATATATATATATATATATATATATATATATATATATGCTAAAGAAGTAATGGATTTTCTACTTATTAATCTGACAGATTTTTATCACTTTAAACATTATTTTTAGTGGATAATCTTACTTGAGTAGGTGCTACATTTATCTATTAATCAATCTAGTTATTTATTTTTGTCTAATGGCCTGAATATTTGAGAAATGTTATAAAAGAAAAATATGGGCTCTCCAGCAGGATTTGAACTTGTGTCCCTCTGAGTAGTGGGAAACGATTGTTAGATCTGACAATAATGAAAAGGCAAAAACAGAGATTCAATATAAGAACCCAAATGAATCAACAACCACCTTTTGCATCTTTCCCCATTTAACCTCCAAAATCCTTTGACTCTAAAAGTCTTCTTGAATGGAAAAAGTGGATTTGGTATTTCAAAAGGTTTTAGCAAGCAAGTAACCTCCATAGATTGACCCAGGCCAACCAGGTAAACACTTTAGTTACTGTATAGGGAATTTAAATTTGTTGTGAGAAGAGGCAAACCAATATGAGATTGTCAAAGAGAGTTTTTTTCCTTTTTTATTTGAAAGAAAAACATAATTTATGAATGAGTTGTCTTTACCAGGAAGTAGGCAGCAAGGACCTAACAAATCATTGGATTGGTTCATGACAGTTCTGTATACTTTGGCAGAACACTCCAATTATGGGAACTTAAAGATGGCGTTGATACGCGACCATTTTGTTGTTGGTCTTACAGATGTACATCTATTTGAAAGTATGCAGTTAGACAGTAACCTCACACTCAAGGGGTCAGTCATAATGGCAAGGCAGACTGAGACTCTCAGACAACAGCAAAATAATCTCAGGGGAGAAAACCTTACAGAAGCATACTTGGTTGATAAGGTGGAAAGGAAAAAGTATATGTAGAGAACAAAACAGGCAGTTAAGAGTTAGGTTTAAAGTAAATGTCCCAAATGAAGGAACAGCTCCAACCACCATGAATCTCAGTGCTTGGCTAAAAATGTGATGCGTTTATCCTGCAGAAAGAGGTACATCACAAAATTATGTGCATCACAAAATTTGTCCACAAAGTAAATGAAGTGAATAGTAGTGTCTTCTTGAAGTCTGTTACTGCAGGCGGAGACCTACAGATGGTTAAATTTGGAGTGGGCAAAAAGAAAGTGTAATTCAGAATAGAGATGGGGGCTGATGTTACCATCATTCCAGAACATATTTTCAACCAATTTATATATATATATATATATATATATATATATATATATATATATATATATATATATATACATACATAATATAAATGCATACATAAATACACCAGGAAATGCTGAGCAGTGGTCTTGATCAAGAACAACAGCCATACACAATAAAACTCAAACCCAATGCACATCAATTTTCTTTTAAAACACCCAGACATATACCTCTTTCACTGGTGGTTAAAGTAAAAAAAGAATTGCTGTGCATGGAATGTATTGATGTTATCAGCCATGTAGAGCAAGCCACTGAATGGTGTGCAGGTATGGGAGTAGTTACAAAAAAATCAGGGGACCCTCATATTTGTGTCAACCTTACCCAATTGAACAAGTCAGTGCATAGGGGAAAATACACCCTGCCATCAGTCAAGCAAACTCTCAGTTTATTAGCAGGTTCAAAAATATTCAGTAAACTCAATGCTAATTTGGGATTCTGGCAAATCTTGCTCATGAAGGAATCAACTAAACTGATCATATTTATCTCTCTATTTAGTAGACTTTTCTTCAAGCGATTTGGGATAGCATCTTCTCCTGAACATTTTCAGAATAGGATGTCAACCGAAGTTACAGAAAGCTTAGAAGAGGTCATCTGCTATATTGATGATATGGGAACAACACACAAAATGAGAATGGTTCCTGACTTCATGCAGTCTTGTCTAAGCTGGAAAAGTTAAGTTTCTGGCTTACATTATTCCTGTTGAAGTAATTGGAGCAAAAATGCAGCTGTTAAGCAGATGCAAAAATCTACCAATGTAGTTTTCTGGGGATGGTAAACCAGCAGGATAAGTTTATTCCTCAGCTGTTGGAAAAGGATAAACTCTTGAGAGATCTGCTTTCCAAAATGAACCACTGGATTTGGGAGGAAGACCAGGCTAAAGCTTTCAACACTCTGAAAGAAGACTTAGAGATAGCCTTATATGACCCTCTCAAAGAGACCAAAGTTTGAGCAAATGCATCCAGTTTTGGTCTCAGAGCAGTAGTTATGAAAAGTGGAGGCCTATTGCCTATGATTACAGATCTCTTTAGCCAGCTGAGCAGAGGCATGCTCAAACTGAAAAAGAAGCACTTGCAATAACTTAGACATGTGAAAGATTTTGAGATTATATCACTGGACAAAATTTTCTGCTTGAAACAGACCACAAACCACTACTGAGCCTTCTAGGAGTTCAAATTTCGAATTCCTTACCCCAGTGGTACCCCAATGTTTCAGTATGTGACTGTTGAGGTACTCATACACAATATATCATGTTCCAGGAAAAAGTCTCATTATTGTTGACACATTGTCAAGGACACCATTTTAAGAATCTACAAGTGGATAGCAAGCTCATGGAGAGTACCAACATTTATGTGAATTGCTTAATAGAAAACTTACCTGCAAGTACCCCTTACCTGGAAAAGTTACACAAACACCAGACAGAGGACAATGAATGCTCAAAAGTTATGCAGATGTGCTGTAATGGGTGGTCTGAATGCAACACATGTGCATGAGAGCAAAGACTGTACTAGGCAAAGCATCCTTACCTAATTGTACATGATGGGATTTTACTTAAGGGTATAAGAATGGTTATTTCTGCAGATTTGAGAAATAACATACATGAACATCTCCATGAATGTCATTAGGGCATAGTCAAATGCCAAGAGTGTGTGCACCAGTGCATGTCATGGTAAGGTATAAGCCAGAAGCTAAGTGAATTAGTGTTGAAATGCAGAACCGACCTGAAGGAATGCACAAATCATGCAGAGACACTTATATGGACAAACCTACTAGATTAACCCTGGCAAAGATTAGGTGCAGATATGTTTACTCATAAAGTAAATCCTGTTTGTTATTATTGACCTACCACACTAGGTTCATGGAAATAGTCAACCTCTCAGATATAAAGGCAGCAGGTGTTCAATATCTGCCAGGCATGAACTTCCAGAAATCCTAATTACTGACAATGGCCTGCAGTTTGCATATAAAACATTTGCAAAACTTGCCTTGAAATATGGATTTTATCAGGCCAAGGAAATGGGGAAAAAGGAACAACTCTGTGCTGGAAAGGGCCAGGGCCTTTGGGAAGAGAAGTACGTAGGGAGCAGAAATAAGGATGGGACATGCTGTGGATATCTCAATGTACACTGTAAAAATAAATATATAAATAAATATCCTTTTGTATGTAAATTTGTACTTCTGAAAGAATACGCACTGGCCAAATTGAACAGAAACAAAGTGGCAGGACCAGATGGAATTGTAATGGAGATGCTGGCAGCCTTAAATATTTTCAGCAAACACAAAATTACAGAAATAATAAATGAAATCTGTAAGAGTGGTGATATACCACAAGTCCTAAGTCAATCTATTTTTATAGGACTACCTAAGAAGCCAGGTACAAATGAAGATGAATCATATCAGACAATCATCCTAATGGGCCATATAACAAAACTTATCTGAATTCTGATGAATAGAGTGCACAGCAGAATCAAACTGGAAATAGGGTAAGAAGAGTATGGGTTCATTAAAAACACTAGGACAAGTAATGCAATATTTATGCTCAGAATGATATCTGAAAGAGCAATATAAATGCAGAAGAATGTGTACCTGTGTTTTTAACTTATGCAAATGCATTTGTTAAATTGAGGTACAAAAATCTGTTGGAACTGCTTAGTAACCATGATATATTTGGGAAGGATATTAAAATACCCAACGTCCTATATTGGTAGCAAACCTACATATGGATAGAAAATGAATTTAGCAGATATGGCAATATAGAAAGGGGTGTAAGATATGGATGTGTTTTCTCACCAGGCTTATACAACTGAGGTGATTTTGAGAGAATTAGAAATCCAACCAGGATTCATTATTGACAGCCATGATCTGCATAAGATATTCAGATGACAGTGTTGACAGCAGGCATGGAAAGCAAACTACAAAAACTCCTACAGAAGTTTGTGAAGAAGAAAGGATTAAACATCAACTACAAGAAGACAGAATATATAGTTGTTAATAGTCTTTCCACTTCATGTCAGTTGAGAACATTAGCTTAAGAAGATGCAATAAGTCACTTTCCTGGGGGTTAGCATCAGCCATGGTGATGGAAGGCAAAGAGGAGTCTCTCAGCTGTTTAATGCAGAGAAGTTTTGGAAGGGTTACAATTAACAAGCCATCTTTTGCTCAGCTAATGATGGACTTAAGATTGTTTTTGACATTGGTTTTTGACCTTGGAAAGATCAGCTTTATTCTCAAGGCAGGAGTAAAAGGTTGTGTCATCAGTGTAGATGCCAAGTTAAGAGCTGATGTCATCAGAAAGATCATTAATAAAAATTCAAAACAGAATAGGATCAAGGATGGAGCCCTGGGGGACATCCACATTATTACAAAAGGATCTAGAAGAGTTGCTGTTCAGGATAACTTTCATTTCACAATTTGATGGGAAAGACTAGATCAGTTCAAAAATGTGTCCAGAGACATCATAACTTTTCAGCTTGTGGAGAACACCTGTATGCCAGACACTGTCAAAGGCTTTCAAAATGTCCAATACTACAGCCGTAACTTCACTGTTTTTATCTAGACATGATAGAATCTTGTCTGAGAAATGATGAACCAATTCAGTATTGATTTGGGTCTCTATGAGTTTCCCAAAAATAGGTACAGGGTTAATAGGTCAATAGTTGAAAGTGTTGGATGGTTTCACCTGAGTTCTTAAAAACTGGAACAACAAATAATGATTTCGGCAGGCAGGTAAACAGGAGGGAGTGAAGCATTTATTATACTGTTTAAAGAAAAAAGGAGCCTGTTCTGGAGCACATTTCTTATTCACTATTACAAGAATGCCATTGGGTCCGCATCTTTTGTGGTGGTGTAGATTAGAGATGATAACAGAAATCATGGAAGGAGTTATATGCATATAACTCAACAGAGACTCAGTTCTAATTAGGAAGTTAGGCTAGGATACTCCAGATGAGTCAAAAGTAGAGTTCAAGAAATTTATGGGCAAAACATTCAGCTTTATCAACAGAGGATGATAACACCTGAAATTAGAAAATAAAGACCTTACACTTATTTAATACCCTATTACAGAGCAGCCAGTAATCACAAGAGCCAAAGTTGTTAGAATCTATGTGGTGCCTCATTCTATGGGTAAAAAGGGACTTAGCACCTTCAAGGACTCCTTTATTATGATCAGCAACAAATTAGTGCCTGTTGTGACAAGAGTTGTCATGCTAGTATAGCCAAAAATAGTGGTTCCTGTGTGCCATAGTGGCCAAGCATGATGGTATGAGTGGATTGACATGTCACCTAGCATTTTTGAGAAGAGATGAAAGCGTCTATGCTGGCTATGACCCAAGAAGAAACTTCAGTGTTGAAATTTTCAATTGGAAGTTTAAAGATGTCAGACCAAGGGATGTCACAAAGAAAATAATCATAGAATGAGTCCCAATTAGCATATATATGTATAAAATAAAAATTTTATTTCATCAATTTTAAGACAAGCTGTCTTTGTAATTATATTCTTGATATCTAGAGATAAGATAAAAAATAAATAAAAATTGTCCATCTTGTTCAAACAATATTTGTTCACTTATCTACTTTTCGTTTTGAAAAACTAAGCCCTCCCTTCCAGAGACTTGATGGCAAAATTCACCCAGTAAACTAAAAAATTTGCCCGCTGAAAACAATATGGGTTTATGCAAGTGTATATTATTTATAACTAATTAACGTTATTTACATTATTTACTTGTAAACTATTTTCCTTATATTTGTTGTTACTGACAACAAGGATGAGGACAATAATCTGCATGTAAATTGTGTAAATAATGATAACTCATCATATCAGAAATTCAAGCAAAATAATTCATGCTTTTATTTTATTATTACATGTTGCATAGAGTTGAGGTCTAAAGTTGATGGAATTTCACCATTAAGTATCCTGAAAAGCAGATTCAATTACACAGAAACCAAAGTAGGTATAGTCATAAGGAAAATGGACAAATTTATTTTATCATATATATTTATATATATATATATATATATATGTATGTCTGTATATATATATATGTTTGTGCATGTGTCTGTGTGTGAGTATATATATATATATATATATTCATTCCTATCTGCTCAATGGATGCAGATGACCACCATTTAGTCTTATACAACACTATATTCTCAATAACTATTTATTTTATTTTTATGTCTTCCTTGTAAATGACTTGTAGGATTGAGCATGAGATTGTAAATGGCTTTTGAGAATGGCTAATGACTTATAAACTCTATAACACACATTACACATGTACACATGATATCTAATGAACATCTTTTGGACTTGACTGTTGTAACCATATCAACTCTTGGGTGTTGCTTAAAATCTTAACATGTTCAGTTAAATGACTTGCCATATGATTTACAAGTCTTATGGCAAGGTTTAGCAAGTGGCTGTACATTTCTTTTACAGTGATGTTCACCCTGTACAAGGCTCAAGAGTCACTCAAGGTGGGTTACAAAGTATGTGGATATGTACGAAATATAAGTATTAATCCTACAGTCTGTCTGATGTTATTATGTAAATCAAATTAATCTTTCACAAACCTCAATAACTCAATTTTGTTTCGAGAAATTTTTGTCAAATTTTAATTTAGATATCAAAACAGAACTTCCGTTGAATTTTTACGAAGTTTCAGCATGTTTTATTAAATTTATTGGATTTTTTGAAAAAACCAAAAATTTAACTCAAACTTGTTTTCACGTCTAAATTAATCATTTAAAATTTGACTAAACATTTTCAAAGCAAATTTGAGTTATTGAGGTTTATGTGATTTGCGTAATAACTTCAGATGGACTTTAGGCTGGTACAGATTAAGATTGTAGTGATTGGAGAAACATCCTCTTGGGAGTTGGTTCCACAGAGCAGCAGTTTGTGAAAAGAACTGCTCAAGTGGAACTTACAGCTCATCAAAGGAATATGAAGGGAAGGAGGATGGTTTACTAAAATATTTTAATCTGTATCATAATTAAATTTGCTATGATGCATTCTCATATGTCACTTACGAATGCATACAGACTTCACTATCTGTCTCTATCTCTGAGATGAGGCATTATGATTAGTTACATTATTCACATTGTTCAGACTGTTATCGTCATTTTCAATGCCACATTCATAACATTTCAGCTGTTGTATACTTCAGCCTTCTTCAGGTGATTGGAATTTCGAACCAAACCCTTTATTTTGTCCACCAGGGTAGGTCTGATAACAATTTTGCCAATTTGTTTATCATTGTCATACCTTTGTCATAATTAAATCCCTCTTAGCTAAGCGATGTTCATTTTAGGTACATAGTTCAAAAGATTTTTTTTTCTAGAAACAACTAGACTTATATCCCATTAAAACACCAGTTCTTGTATAGATTGTAATTTTTGAGATAATAATGATTTACTGATAGATGTCATACTTTTTAATCCATAGCTGGGAGGGAAAGATATTGATTCATACTTTTCCCAAGGATATTTGCATACAAGTGAATATAATGAACCCAACTGGAATTAGAACTCGGTACTGTGATTTCCAATTTCAAGCCATTATCCATTATACTACACACACATCCAATTTAGTTACTGACCAGACTCGAAGTTGCTTAACTGGTGATCATATGTGAACCAGTGTTTCAACATATTATGTCTGTAAGCCCATGAAAGATATGTGGCATTTGATAATAAGTTGCTACTAGTACACCATAACTCAGTGAAACCTCCTGTTGCATGTTACGGGTAGAGGAGATGTGAATTACTAAGTAACCCCCCCCCACCCCCATTGATCTGAAGAGGAACTTCAGATCAATGGGGGGGTTACTTGTACTTGGTACAGCATAAGAAAAATTTAATGGTAATCATCCACATCAAGTTAAATTATCATTCTGAACACTGTGTGGATGTTGAGTGTTCAATGACTTGAAGTCACAAATACATTACCTGCAATCACTGTGAAAATAGTTTTGTCATGATTTTCAGATCAGGGCTCAAATAGAAATATGTGGATGAATTTAAGCTATACAGATGGTAGTGAAAGAGAGCAGGAAGAAGGGACTAAGCATAAACTACAAGAAGACAGAATGCATGGTCATTATT